ATGAATCTCCCAGTCCGAGTGACGAGTATTAGCTCCACTGTCGAAACTTTCAGTCTGTAACAAACGTTTATCGAGTTTGTCGACACAACGATTTTCGGTATCAGCGGCCGAAAGCAGCGTTCTCAGCGGTTCGCAAACGGCAGCAGTACTAGCGTTCGCCGACCAGAATTGCAAGCAGAGCGACGCAGATCACGGGACCATGAGAATCGTACACCATGAAGATCGCATGCGCTCGCATCGAGTTCGTCGGCGTTCCCTTGCACGCGATCAATGAATCTTTGATGGTACGTATTAGCGACGGCTGGTGGGGGGAATCGTGCGTCTAGAAAGCCTAGAGAGTGTCGTCGCTTTCCCCATTCGCGTCATGATTTAAGTTACCTTTCCACTAACGCGTGTACCGTCCTTTTCCCCCTGTCCTCCTCGTTCTTCCCGCTGCATGTTTGTGATTAAATCGGAGGCGCGGGATTGAAGTCTGCGGTGTCGGACGCATCGCGTGACGTCGTTTCAAGAATCGCGTGACGTCGTTTCAAGAATCGCGTGACGCCGTTTCAAGAATTTCCTGACGTCGTTTCAAGAATCGCCTGACATCATTTCAAGAATCGCCTGACGTTGTTTCAAGAATCGCCTGACGTCGTTTCAAGAATTGCCTGACGTCGTTTCAAGAATCGCCTGACGTAGTTTCAAGAATCTCCTGACGGCGTTTCAAGAATCGTGTGACGTCGTTTCAAGAATTGCCTGACGTCGTTTCAAGAATCGCCTCACGGCCTGCGAGCAAGGGCAGCCGGAGCAACCTGGAGCAACTTGGAGCAGCAGGCGTGAAGGGAAGGCGTGGTGCAGGAGTGGCAGAGCAGCGGACAGAGCATGGTACGCGCCAAAGGGTGCTTGCAGGGGGGAGTGTAGTGAGTCGTAGAGCGTCGCCGCGCAGAGGCAACAGTCGTGACTCTTGGTTTTGAATCCGCGTCTTCCCTTCTGTTGTATCTAACCCTCCCTTTTTGGTGCCGCTTCTGTGTGCGTGTCTCTCTCCCCATGCGTGTGTGTGTGTGCCTCACGGCTTGCGAGCACGGGCAGCCGGAGCAACGGAGCAACCTGGAGCAACTTGGAGCAGCAGGCGTGAAGGGAAGGCGTGGTACAGGAGTGGCAGAGCAGTGGACACAGTGTGGTACGCGACTGTGGGTGCTTGCAGGGGGGAGTGTAGTGAGTCGTAGAGCGTCGCCGTGCAGAGGCTAGAGTCGTGTCTCTTGCTTTTGCCTCCGCCAATCGCCTCCTGCTGCTTCTAACCCTCCCTTTTTGGTGCCTCTTGTGTGTGCGTGTCTCTCTCCCCCTGCGTGTGTGTATGTGCCTCATGGCTTGCAAGCATGGGCAGCAGGAGCAACGGAGCAACCTGGAGCAACTTGGAGCAGCAGGCGTGAAGGGAAGGCGTGGTGCAGGAGTGGCAGAGCAGCGGACAGAGTGTGGTACGCGCCAGGGGGTGCTTGCAGGGGGGAGTGTAGTGAGTCGTAGAGCGTCGCCGCGCAGAGGCAAGAGTCGTGTCTCTTGCTTTTAACTCCGCCACTCTTCACCTGCTGTTTCTAACCCTCCCTTGTTGGTGCTGCTTCTGTGTGTGTCTCTCTCTCCCCATGCGTGTGTGTGTGTGTGCCTCACGGCCTGCGAGCATGGGCAGCCGGAGCAATCTGGAGCAACGGAGCAACCTGGAGCAACTTGGAGCAGCAGGCGTGAAGGGAAGGCGTGGTGCAGGAGTGGCAGAGCATCGGACACAGTGTTATACGCGCCAGGGGGTGCTTGCAGGGGGGAGTGTAGTGAGTCGTAGAGCGTCGCCGCGCAGAGGCAACAGTCGTGTCTCTTGCTTTTGTCTCCGCCGCGGTGTGCTGCTTCTAACCCTCCTTTGTTGCTGCTTCTGTGTGCGTGTCTCTCTCTCTGCATGGGCGTGTGTGCCTCACGGCCAACAAGCACGGTAGCGGCAGCTACCGAGCAACACGCTTGAAGAAAAGTTGGTGCGGCAAGCGGCTTTCAGTCCAACAAAAGAGGTAGCTGGTGTCGTCGATGCCGCAGCAGCTCAAATGCACCAAGCGTTGCGTCGTATCTCAGTCGCTTTTCCATCTGCCATCTGCCATCTCTTATGGCATGTCGCTGCTTTTTCGCATCCTCATCTGTTCATCCACTCACTTCTCCTCTCTTTGCTCACGCCTCTTGTCCTTCCCTGCCTTTACACCTTCCCAGCACTCTGGTCATACTGCCTCCACACTCTCCAGCACTCAAGGGGGCAGTGCCTGCAGCAACTCAGGGGTCACCAGTGGCTGAAGCAACTCATGTGCTTCAACAGCGGCTGTATAATGGTAAGCACACAAGTAGAGACGATCAACTAATATTCCATTTCTTTTATTTAACGTGCTTTCTCTATTGGCGACCTGTTTTCCACAGTGCCATGTGCTCTGTCGCCGGATGTTAATGCCACTATCTTCACCATGTGTGTGACTTAGCTGTGACTCAGCCACTCTGCGACTTAGCCACTCTGTGACGTATCCACTCTGTGACTTAGCTGTGTCACCGGATGTTTTTGCTCTCTTCTTCTTTGCTCTCCTCTCTTCCATCCCGTGGTCTATCCAGCACCAGCGGCACAGTCACCAGTGGTGGCAGCAGCAGCATCATCGACCACTGCAGTGGTTGCGGCTGCAGCAATGAAGGGGTGATTACCGTTTTCCCTAGTGCGTCCCAGTTCCCTTGAATGCTGGCGTCCTTGTGTTCTTGTCCAGTGCTTCGTGTCCCATTCGTCTCCTTATATCCTTCTACTGTTGCTCGGCGTCCCCTCTTTCTCATGCCACTCTGCTCACCTCTCAAACTCCTCCTTTCCTGTCCTCCCGGGTTCTCTGCTTGCCTCTCTGGTCTTGATTAGTGCTTGCTTCACAAAGGCCGTTAGGGATTGATACATGCACATCTGTTTTGTTTCCTTCTAAACAGCTTCGCCAGTGTGCTGATGTGCGCTTTTGCTTCTTGTATGTGACTCCCTGCTCTCTTTGCTCCCCTTTCTTCCATATCCCATTGTTGTCCCATTGGCTGGCTCTTCTGTGGTGGAGTGCAGGGCGAGGCAGAGGAGGACTTGTAAAGCGCAGAAAGGTGGTGGACCACCACAATTAAGAGCAGCTCTATATGCACCACTTGACAGTGGGGTGTGCATGGCGGTGGGTGTGCATGGCGGTGGGGTGCGCACGGCGGTGGACCATCAAGAGCTCAAGAATTTGCCGCTTCTGTGCTTACCCATGCTTAGCTGTCCTTCGCTGTTTTTAGGTGCGCTTGCTGTTCTTAGCCGTTCTTAGGTGTGGTTAGATGTGCTTTTTGTTGCTTAGGTGTGCTGTGCTGCACGGTGCTGTGCTGGGATGGGTCTGCATGTTGTATAATAGGTGGGTGGGGTGGGTAACCTGGAAATACGCCTGGGCACAAACACCCAAGCAGGGCAGAGCATCCTCTTGCAGGTGCTGTCTCGCTCCCTGATGAGTCGGCCCATGCTATGCCATGCCATGAGGAGGGCTTGGCTGTTACCCTCGTCCGTGGAGTTGAGTGAAAGCGAGAGGTAGCTGCCCGCCATACGCACGCATGATCACGGCGACGGGGAGAGAATGGAAATGCAGAGCATCCACCGACCCATGCGCTGCATGCAGCATGCATGCACATACAGAGCCAGCCACTACAAACAGTATGTGGGTCAGGCAAGTTTTTTGCATACGAGCAGGGATGGAAGAGTCCGACAACAGACAGAGGTTGCCCACTTTTCGTGCAAGACAGGAATGGTCAGGGGGTATGTGCAAGCACTCCAAGTCACTGTGGTGTTATATATAATCGAAGATTGGTCCAAACACATGAAAGAATGGTACAGTAAGGGCGTGTGTGATTTTTGGAAAACCTCCAAAGTTCAAACTCAAACCGCTCTGCACCGTGGCCTTATATCTTTCAACTGTATCCTACCATGTAGAACCGCTATAGAAGTTTGAACTTTTTGGAAGTTTTAAAAAATATCACACGCCCCAAGTATGCTAAACTTGTCCGTGATTTAATACAATAGTTTGTCTCCATTGTTGCTGCTACTGAAGAATATCAAGAAAGAAAATAGCAGCTCAGTGCCAGCAGAATTCTACACTGCCAGCTCCAGTAATGGGTAACTACTCCGCTGCTGTACGCACTTGTAGGTACCTCGTTGACAGTTTGGTTGGAACTCTTGCTGGGGACACGGACAACTCGGTTTACCGGGTGCGGTAAGTGACACCAAAGGGAATCAACGACATATTTCTTGTCTATCACTTCGCAGGCCTCCTAGTCGCGGCTATTTATTCTCAGAACGAACGGCGCCGATTTCCTACGTGTTTATCTGTGAGCGATGCCTTTGAAATCTGTGTCGCCGCATCAGCCGGGGATCCTCCCGGTTGCCGGGTGGGATCCGACAAGCGGAGCCGGGTTTACCGGGAAGGATCCCTACTACTGTTCTTTATGTTCACCGTACACGCTTCGTCTTTCATGTCGCAAGCCTCGTAATGGCGCTATTCGTCGCAAGCCTCGTATATAACATACGAGTTCGTTCTCACCTGTGAGTGAGTTCGTTATGAACCAGCCGGGGACGCCAGGTTTACCACTGGTTGTACGACAGTACACCAGAACTCGGAATTAGAGTCAAATCAGTCCTGCGCATGGCCAGTATAGCGAGCCCAAACTGCGCCCAAGCACGAATCTCTCTCGCACGCCAGAATTAGGGATGGTGCGGCTCGCTGACTCAGCGAACCTGGAACCAAATACAGTCCGTACACCCTTCATCATTGGTTCTTCCCTCCCACCTGCAACTATGGTTGGAAACGAGGTGGAACCAGGACGGGCTTACTACCGGGTGTGGGAACACCCAGGTTTACCGAGTGTGGGAACACCCCGTTACCGGGTGTAGGGTTTGCCTTTACTGTACTTGCAGTACCTTCGGCGCTCCGAGCGTCCTTTGACAGCTTGACAGAGGTGCGCAACGACAGATGACAGCTTCGACTCCATCTAGCGAAAACAACCCATCCCTGACGGCTCTACTACTTAACTCGATGCGAAATCATTTTGCTACTACGCCTCCTCTTTCACTTCGCAAGTCTCCTAGTCGCGGCTATTCATCCTCAGAACATGGAACGATCTGCGCCGTTTTCCTACGTTCTCATCTGTGAGTGATGCCTTGAAAATCTGTGATTAGTACTACTTAGTGTCGCCCTATGACATCACGTCATAACATGGTGTGATTCTGAGCCGCAGGTGTGATACTCTCCTTGGGTGCGACGGCGTCTGCAGCGTTGCTCCAATCGGCGTCCTCCACGCCGTCCCTAGCGCTTCCCCTCGCGTTGAACAACAACTTGTCTCTTCCACTCGGCACCAGGCCTGTCCCTCTCTCCAAGTTGGTCAAAGGGAAGGTTCTCGGTGAGTTCTTCCAGCCAACATTCAAGAAATATACGAGTTCAGTTCAATTTGAAGTTATCCGACTGTACGAGTCTTAGTAGTTGGTCCCATGATACCATCGTATCTAGTAGTGGTTGTAGTGCGGCGTTGATGATCACCCACTTAAAATTTGTGCTTTCGAATTCTGAAAAAGTTGTGTGCGCCAGTTTAGTGCTTTTGAGATAGATTGTGATCATCACGCACTCAAGGAGATCGAGTTTTGAGACGTCTCAAAACTAGTACATTGTGATCATCACGCACTCTCTCCCGCTCTCTCATCATTGTGCCTGCCCTTGCATTGTAGAGTGACTCAAAAGCACTGCTATCGTGTCCTCTCTCTCTCTCTCTCTCTCTCTCTCTCTCTCTCTCTCTCTCTCTCTCTCTCTCTCTCTCTCTCTCTCTCTCTCTCTCTCTCGTGTCGTGTCTGCCCTTGCATTTGTAGTGGTCTACACAATCAAGTTGACTCCCACAGTTAGCAACGGCAACGTGGTGGGAGAGAAAGGAGCAAAAGGGAAATACTGGGCTAAGGGAATCAAGTGAGTTGATACTACACTTTGCAGCATGCGTCTTTCACTAGTAATGTGGTCGCTTCCTGACAGTCAGACTATGCATGTTTCACCAGTGTGGCTGTGCCAGTATTCCTATCCCTGACAAAGTCCTTGGTGGTCCCTACTTGATTTCCTTTTTCTGGTTGGCAGGAACCAACAAGGTTACTTTTTCGTGTTGTAGTTTCGTGTGGATAATATCAGGTCGGGAGGGGCTGCTCCTTCCGCCCAATCGCTACCGGCTGGTAGTAAGTGCACTGAGAGCGGGTATTCGGCGGAAACCGCGGCAGCAACTGCATGGGAGGACATAACAACTGCGAAGGGTCGCAAGCTTAAGCGCTACAGCTTCATGTCGTCTTCGGTGTTGAAAGTGGCAACAAGGGCACAGATGAATGCGTTGATGGACGACGTCTTAAAAGAAACTGGTAGTGGTCCTGTAGTTGTGTCTCACCCAAATTAAGACTACGCAATTCTCAAGATCGGAAGTGTTGTTTCATTGATGGTGGTTGGGGTACAAGTAGCAAACCCTAACATACGTACCCCCAAAGACACATCTCACTACAGGCTACCAACATTTGACACACCCCCATAGCCTAAGTGAGGGGTGTCTAGCAAAACCAAAAGAGTACGGTCACAAGACTGTCAAACTATATGTGCTGCATATTGTCTAGGCTGTAGTGGGGTAGCCCATATGGGGTACAACCTAGTTAGGGTTTACTACTTGTACTCCTGCATCCTGTTAGTTCATCCATTCCTGCTGCTAGATTCTAACATGGTTTCAGAGCACTAAGGTCCGTAGGACCGTTTTTTTTTTTCGGGCCCACCTACCGCTGCGGTTACCGCGCTACCCCACGTAGCCTTGCCTTGCCTTGTATGCCTTGCCTTGCCTTGCCTTGCCTGCGCGCTGCCCCTAGAGGCCCGTAAGGCCCGCGCGCCGCCTCTACACGCCTGTCGGGCCCGCACACACGCTGCTACCGCGCGCTGCCCGCACCGAGATCGCGCAGCCCGCCCCGAGTCGCGCGCAGCCCGCTGCAGCCACGCGCAGCCCGCACCGAGCCGCGCGCAGCCCGCTGCAGCCGCGCGCAGCCTGCACCGAGCCGCGCACAGCCCGCTGCAACCGCGCGCAGCCCGCACCGAGCCGCGCGCAGCTCGCAGCTGCCGCGCGCAGCCCGCGCCGAGCCCGCGCAGCCCGCGTCGAGCCGCGCGCGGCCTGCTACGGCCTCGCGCAGCCCGCGCGCGGCCCGCAGCAGCTCGTGCCGAGCCGCGCGAGGCCTGCTCCTGCCTCGCACGGCCCGCGCGCGGCCCGCAACAGCCCGCGCCGAGCCGCGCGCGGCCCGCTACTCCCTAGCGCGGCCGCGCGCGGCCCTTTGCCTCGGCCCCGACCTGCCGCTGATGCGGCCCCGCCCAGCAGCTGCCATGGCCCCGACCTGCCGCTGATGCGGCCCCGCCCTGCAGCTGCCACGACCCCGACCTGCCGCTGACGCGGCCCCACCCTGCTACTGCCGCTGACGCGGCAGCGCCCTCCAGCTGTTTCGGCCCTGCTCTGCAGCCGGTTTTGCGGCCCCGACGTCGCCGCTGTCGTGCGCCTACTCGAGCGCCGGCCCTGCTCTCCCAGCCTTTGGTGAGCGCCTGCCTGCCTGCCTGTCTGCCTGCCTGCCTGCCGGCCTGCCTGCCGGCCTGCCTGCCGGCCTGCCTGCCTGCCTGCCTGCCTGCCTACCTGCCTGCCTGTCTGCCTGCCTGCCTGCCTGCCTGGCTGCCTGCCTGCCTGCCTACCTGCCTGCCTGCCTGCCTGCCTGCTTGCTTGCCTGCCTGCCGCGCCTGCCTTTCCTGCGCTACTGCTACTGGCAGGTGGCCAGATGCAGCTCCAGCGACATTCACGCGAGCCTCTGACGCCTCAGCAGCTTAGTGAGTGGTATACTAGCTGGGGTTGTCGCGGTAGCCGTCGTAGCTGTCGCCCTGGAGCTGGTCAGTTGGGAGCGTCTGGCAGTGGCCAGCTGCAGCTGCAGGGACGTCCACGTGAGACACTTACGCCCCGGCAGCTCCAGGAGTGGTACGCTCAGTGTAGCAGGTCTACGCGTACAGTCCGCTGCCCGTACGTCATTCGCACAGGTGCTAGGACTGGTCAGCCTTGTGGGACGCTTGGTCACACACAGTCCCGCTGCTTCGCCCGTCTGAGCGACGACTGGCGCACAGTGTTTGGCGACGAGGCTGAGCTCCCCACCTGGCTGGAGCTGCATAGACAGAGGGTAGATATCTTTGCGCTTGACTATGATGCTATTCTCACTGCCATGTATGCATTGTCTACTAGTGCTGACCGTGCCTGTTGCCTGTGCGTACCGCCTGACCCTGGTGAGGCTGCTGCCCTAGGTGCTAGTGCGTCTCCTGCTCTAGGTGCTGGTGAGGCTGCTGCTCTCGGTGCTAGTACGTCTACTGCTCTAGGTACTGGTGAGGCCGTGGCATCAGGTGCTGCTGTGTCTGCTCTCTCTGGTACTGCGCCCACTGCGGTCTCGCACACCTTCACCCTTGACTCAGGAGCTTCCCGCTCCTTCTTTCGCGACTGCACCGCACTTACGCCGCTCCGTCGGCCAGTCCCGGTCTCCCTGGCGGACCCCTCTGGGGGTCCAGTCCTTGCCCACTATTCCACGGTTCTGCCGTGTCCGGCCGTCCCGTCCGGCTCGCTGTCAGGTCTTTACCTCCCCTCGTTCTCTACGAACTTGGTGAGTGGAGCTGACCTCCAGGATGGGGGGGTTGACCAGTTCACTCCTGCGAGTCAGCGAGTGACTCACTGTACGTGTGCTAGGACGGGCCGGCACTTGGCCACGTTCACCCGTGCACCTGGCTCGAGTCTGTACACACTGACCACTGAGTCCCCTCAGGTAGCTGCGTCTGCGTTTGCGTCTGCGTTTGCGTCTGCGTCTGGTCAGCTGGCGGCCCCCTGCGAGTGTCGCGCTTTGTCGCACGACACTCTCCTGTGGCACCACCGCCTTGGTCACCCCTCCTTGCCTCGCCTGCGTAGCATGCACTCTCGCTCCCTGGTCTCTGGTCTTCCCAGGTCCCTGCCTGCCCTCCCTCCCTCGCCTGCGCCGCCCTGCATTCCTTGCGTCGAGGGGCGGCAGCGCGCCGCTCCTCACTCCTCCTCGTTTCCTCCCACAGAGGCTCCACTGCAGACGCTCCACCTGGACGTGTGGGGCCCAGCCCGCGTCCAGGGACAGGGCCGCGAGCGGTACTTCCTGCTGGTCGTCGACGACTACACGCGTTACACCACGGTCTTCCCCTTGCAGAGCAAGGGGGACGTCCCTGCTGTTTTGATCCCCTGGATCCGCGCTGTTCGTCTCCAGCTCCGCGAGCGGTTCCGGTCGGACTTTCCTGTCCTGCGTCTGCACTCTGACAGAGGTGGTGAGTTCTCCTCCGACCTCTTGGCAGCCTACTGTGCGGAGCATGGCATCACCCAGTCGTTCACGCTTCCGGCCTCTCCGCAGCAGAATGGGGTTGCTGAGCGCCGCATTGGCTTAGTCATGGAGGTCGCTCGTACCTCCATGATCCATGCGGCTGCCCCCCATTTTCTGTGGCCGTTTGCGGTCCGGTACGCCGCGCATCAGCTCAACCTCTGGCCCCGTGTCTCCTTGCCGGAGACCTCGCCCACACTGCTGTGGACGGGGAAGGTTGGCGATGCGTCGCGTTTCCGGGTCTGGGGTGCTCGTGCCTTTGTCCGCGATACCACCGCGGACAAGCTCTCCGCCCGCGCTGTTCCCTGTGTCTTCCTTGGCTTTGTCCCTGACGCGCCTGGTTGGCAGTTTTACCACCCCACCTCGCGCCGTGTCTTTGCGTCTCAGGACGTCACGTTCGACGAGTCGGTTCCCTTTTACCGTCTCTTCCCCTACCGCACTGCCTCGCTCCCCCCCCCGCCGCTCTTCCTTGCTCCAGGTGCTCCCCAGGTAGACCCCCTCCCCGCTCCCGGTCCTGCTCCTTCAGGTGTTTCTCAGGTAGACCCTCCTCCCTTGACTGCGCCGGTTGAGGTCACTGGTGACTCAGGTCCTCCTGCGAGTGGTCCTGCTGGGGGTGCGGAGCCTGGGGGTGCTGAGTCTGGGGGTACTGAGCCTGAGGGTGCGGAGCTTGAGGGTGTAGAGCCTGGTGGTGCTGAGCCTGCGTGTGAGGGGTCTGGGGGTGCTGAGCTTGGCGGTACTGACGCTGGAGGTTCTGGAGCTACTGAGGGTGCTGGCACTGGAGGTTCAGGAGCTGCTGGAGGGCCTAGTCCTGGTGGCGCTGGAGCTGGAGGTCCTGGAGCTGTTGAGGGTGCTCGCGCTGGAGGTTCTGGAGTCGCTGGAGGTACTGGTGCTGAGGGTACTGACACCGGAGGTTCTGGAGCCGTTGGGGGTGCGGGCGCTGAGGGTTCTGAGTCTGCTGTTGCGCGGTCTCCTTGGAGTGGCCGCCTTCGTCCCCGTGTGCCTCTCACCCCACAGCAGCTGCAGGACTGGTACGGTCGCCGTCAGCGTCGCGCTGCTGGAGCTCGGAGTCGTGCTGGTCCTTTGTCTACTGGAGGTGCTGGAGTTGCTGGTTCTGGAGGGGCTCGTGCTGGAGACACTGAGGCTGGAGACCCTGGGACTGGAGGTGCTGGCTCTGGGGGTGCTGCTGCTGGAGACGCTGAGGTTGGAGACCCTGGAGCTGGAGGTGCTGGTTCTGGGGGTGCTACTGCTGGAGACCCTGCGGTTGGAGACCCTGGGACTGGAGGTGCTGGTTCTGGGGGTGCTGCTGCTGGAGACACAGAGGTTGGAGACCCTGGGACTCGAGGTGTCGGCTCTGGGCCTGGAGCTTCTGGAGCTGCTGGAGGTACTGGAGCTGCTGGAGGTACTGGAGCTGCTGGAGGCACTGGAGCTGCTGGAGCTGCTGGTTCTGGTGCAGCTGCGCCGACACGACTGTTCTTCGCTCCGCCGTCTCCGTCGTCTCTGCCGCCGTCTGCCTCTGTTCTTCGTCAGGTTCTTACTCTTCCGTCGTCTACTGGTCTTCCGTTACAGACTGGCTCGCCGCTGCCTGCTCCTTCTCCTTACGCTGAGCTGACTGGTAGTCCTGCTGTGCGTCGTGAGCCTGCGTCGCGTCCTGTCTCGCCTGCTCGTCCTGGTCGTACCGGTCCTCGTGTTCCTCGTTCGCGTCCGCCGGCTGTCCCCAGCGCGCACCTCGTAGTCCGTC